CACTTGGACAAGTATAGTGAATATGATGAAGATGGAAGTTGTTTAATGATCGATGGTTATCATTAATTGCTTAATCACATGCTTACTCTAGTATAGGTGCAAATCTAGTCGACGAGTTAATAATAATTAACTTGACAATAATGCTTTTAGAAAGGTTCTTGAAATGCTAAAAATGCTTCTTTTGCAAATGAGTCACTACCCTACTATAATGCCTGCATAATCCTTGGTGTCATTTATTTTCGGTTATGTCTGTGAAGTCCATTTGAGTACCTTCTCGTACTCGGGTTTTATTCCCACTTGTTGCGAGATGGGCGAGATGTATTACGGCTATTGTATCAACTGCCTCTATCCTGCGATGGGTGATGCTTAGGACCATGGGCATGGTCATTCCTTACGTCTCATCTAATGCTTTTGTTGGAGATGATCATTCGCTGGCACTATATTTAAACTCCGCGTGAGTGTGTGTGTGGTTTTAAACAAATGACTTCCGCTACTTTTATTCGAACTTGTTTTGTAATAACTATGTTTAAACTCTGATGTATCTGTTATGGAAACTTTTATGTAATATGTGATTGGTGACCGCTAAACTTATTACGATCATGGCTGGGACACGAGTTGATTTGAAATCCTTCGTGATTTCACGGACTACCGGGTTATACGGACTTAAGTTTGCTCAATCGTCTGCTCTGGTGGATGATTTTCTTACTTAATTTCGTATAATTGGTCGGTTCTGTTACAGGTTCTCTTTTAGGTCTTGTTGTTGGAGAAAACAAAAAATGTGTATTGAACCATTTTCCTGTAGCGCTACCTAAACATTGAATGGATCTTGTATTTTGGGTGCTGTTGTTGAAGATAGTCTAACATACAAGAGAGTACACCGACATTTTAGATGTTTTACCTGCTGATTCAGTTATTCAAATTTCAGGTGTTTCAGCTACCTCTAGTCCTGATCCAAATCGAGACAGCTGGCCAAATAATTCTAGAAGTGATTGTCAAAGAAACAATTTTAGAGAGAATATGAAGTTAACACGTTTATAGGGGAACGAGCCACATGCAAGCAATAATGTTCCCAACAACAAATGAAGAGAACTAATTTGACTCTAATACATGTGCATTTGTTAACCTTAAAAGTAGCATATTCATCGAAACATGTTTTGGTTGTATCAAAGTGGGAAGAAATATTATGGAATAGATGAACGGAGCAATACCGAAAAGGCCGACCTAGCACTGATTTTTTTTTTACGATTGTTGTAGCAGCCTGTACACATGCATCATCTCCCTGTGGTATTCATCGTCAGGAAACGGACACATAGTAATAATCTAATCAAAGGCAGAGGAAAACTGTGAAGAAGAATGTAGAATATGAGGGAAACTGTAGGCCATTACTCTAAGATACCCGGTACCTAGATCTGCTCGTGCCAGAGGCATCGTGCGCGCCGGTGGCATGGTCGTCGACGCTTGGGCTGCGCCGCTAGAGGTTGGCCCGGCCGTCATCGTGCATGTCGATGCCCGGGCTACGCCGTTAGGGTTTGCCGGCGTCGGGGCTCTTCGTTGGCGCGGCACAGCATCGGGCCGCCAGAGCTGGGAAGAGGGAGCAGTACGGAGCGAACGCTGGTGGGAAAGGCGGAGCGCGTCGGCAATCGGGGCAGAGCCGCGGCATCTCGCGTCGGCGGTGTCGTGGTGACCAGCAGCGGCGTCGCAACCTCATGTGGAGGAAGGGGGCCGCGGACGGCCCTCGGCAGCGCGGTTTCATTGGGAGCGGCGCTGGTGGCGGTAGCGGCGATCAGCAGGGGTAGGAGCAGTGGAGACGCGGCGTTACAGGAGGGACGGCGTCGGGACGGGGAGAGAGGAATGGGTGGGGAGAGGAGCATGGTTTTTTTTTGGGAAATTCCCTGTGAGCCATGATTAAAGATCGTAATTCCCTGCGAGCCACTGAAAAAGTTCAGCGGACTTCAGCGACACTGTTTCAACTTTTTTTTGCCCTTCATGCCACTGCCATCAGATTGGGCTCTAACGGTGTCACTGCAGGTGTGAAAAGTCGAAAATACCCTTAGGTCTAAATATGCCATTAATTTTTTTAGTATCTTAACGACTTCAAATGGAAAAACTCAAAACTAGAAAGTTGTAGATCTCGTCGAGATCTATAATTTTTATATAAAAATTATCTTCATTTAATACCGCAAAAAATATATGATTTTTTTTAAAATATAATAATCATATCAAATCATGTCTTTTTTTTTTGTGAAATTAAATTAAGATAATTTTTATATAAAAATTATAGATTTCGACGAGATCTAGAACTTTCTAGTTTTGAGTTTTTTCATTTGAAGTCGTTAAGATGCTCAAAAAAATTAATGACATATTTAGACCTAAGGGTATTTTTGACTTTTCACACCTACGATTTGACACCGTTAAAGCACAATCTGACAGCAGTGGTATGGAGGGCAAAAAAAAAGTTGGAGCAGTGACGCTGAAATCTACTGAATTTTTTCGGTGCCTCACAGAGAATTGCGATGTTTTTTAATGGCTCACGTGGAATTCTCTCTTTTTTTCTATGAGCGAGGGAGGGACCACGTCGTGCTGGGAACGAAATGTAAGGAATTCTGACCCCCGGATTTTCTCATAAATAAATGTACGAAATAAATCCAATTTTAATTTATAAGAAAAAATTCCCAAAAATTTTGGATTTTTACTCCTCACGCCCAGGATTACGTCCTGGGTCATTAGATAAGAATCCAAAGATAAAGAGGGAAACAAAGAATATCACTACTGTATAAACAAAAAGTTTGAGAGTAAGCATTACATAATCTCCAAAATTTTTTTTGTTAAGGAATAGATTACCCATTTTTCCTTGCCAGACGGCAGGTGCTGAGTTAATGGGCTGTGGGGCCCATGGGGCGCTGGAGCGGTGGGCAGGGTGAGCGTGTGGGTTGGCTGAGGCGTGGCCGCCATCCGACGGCAGCAGGCAGGATCGGACAGTCAGGGAAGTGCACTGTGGATGAATAGGACTGTGAGTGGGAAACGGAAGGTGAACAGTGCGCAGTCACAGGATTAGAGATAAAAATATAATAATATAATATAAAAATAATAAAAAAACATATTTTTATTATATTATATTACTAGATAGATATAATATAATATATAATATATACGAAACGAGCCTGATTCCATGTGTGCCTAGCTGCAAAGGTTTTTGACATTTGTATAATAGCTAATGTCTTCTTAATATGTTATTAATAAGGGAAAATTGGTTTCATAGCATCAAAGATCACGAGTTCCGAAAAATACCACTCAAATATCACGGCCACATGAAATATCAGTGAAAAAACGATCTGTTACCCGAATCTACCATTCTGTCATGATATGAACTAACGACGTGAGTCCATCGTTGCCATTGAAAATCCCATCCCCTTCATCTTCCTCAGCTCCGGCGTACTTCTCTTTGTGGCAAGCTAGAGCAGCAAGGGTAAGTAAGGTCCAAGAATGGCTCTAGGAGGTTGCCGGCATCCTCTGCTCATCTTGCTGCCATTGCTGCTAATGCTAGGAATGGTGCCCGAGTCCAAACAGCTGCAGTCGTCGCAGACATGGGCGCCGCTCCAGATCCAACATCTGCTCAACTACCCGCCGGTGCTCCGCACATGGGCCAACAGCAGTCACAACACCGACTTCTGCTACAGCGGGGGCTACAAGACCGCCTCTGCCTCCGCCTTCGTCGAGTGCTACGGCAACAGCGTGACGCAGCTCCACATCATGGGGCTTGGCGCCGCGTGTCTCCGCTGCCCAAGAGGTCGAGCATTGATGCCTCCGGAACAACTCGCTGCAGGGTGTGCTGCCAGAGTCCGTCAGGGACATGGGGTCGCTGCAGTCGCTGGTGCTCGCGCGCAACAACCTCTCCGGACCTGAGCACAGCTCGGACCGAAGGTGGCTGTCGTGATGAGCGGCAACCGCCTTTGTTCTGCTAGAACCAGGTGCTGACCGTGGGCATCGTGCCCATCTAGGCGCGCAGCGGCAACAAGGCCAAGGTCGGGCCCGTGGCCAGCGTCGTCGCCGCCGCAGCGCTCGCTGGCGTGGCCGTCTTCCTCGCCACGCAGAAGGCGGCCGTGAGGCGCGCCAAGGCCAGGCCGCCCCAGCGGCTGGGGCCTAGTGGAGCACGCGTCGTCCATCAGCGCGTACCCATCGCAGCTCTTCGCCGACGAGCGCTGCATCTTGCCAGTGGTTGGGAGTTGGATTTTTTGCCTTTAGATGGACGAGAATCGACGATGCTGACGCTTACCTTCAACGTGACTAGGAATGCTAGTTTCAGATAACAGTTGCATCTTTTAGTGATATTTTACGTAACGGAGTTCTTTTGGTGGTATTTTCTGAATCTCGTGATCTTTCGACGCTATAAAACTATTTTCCCTATTAATAATGTTGCTAGTACACGTAGCTGAATTATATGTAGTATTAGGCAGTAATTTGTAACGGAGTTGTTTTGTTTTTCGTTGCGAGTGAAGGCAGTAACTTTGAGATTGTATCCAACACCGAAATCAGCTTTGTCTAGTAATCTAACAGCTCGGTACTTCCCTCTTGTGGAGCACTTGAGCTAATTCTGTGCAAACTTGTGCACTAACCGGAACTTAGTATGCCTCTGCACTGATGGTAATTTACAACTTGCGGCAACGCAATGCAAACTGTAATCATTCTCAAGAATTTTCAAGAAGGCGAATACACACGAGAGATAGAGGTACTGTTCAATTATACAAGGCTTCATCCAGTTTGTTTAAGTACAATAAATCACTTGCATTGCTCCTACCAGCTCCTACACCAAAAGCCATCGATCTTTCCCCACGTACGTACTGCCCAAGTGCCCAACTGCAAAACACAAGATCACAAGGCACATTAATCTTCCATTATTATTAGTAATCAACAATCAAGAAACAAAGCTGTTCAAGAGCTAGACATGGATCCAGCCTTGCCTCGCCAGCAGCGATGTGCAAGCAGGTGCAGCAAGCAGTTAATTAGTAGTAGCCGACGTCCTTGTCGTCGACGACGAGGTCTCCGTTGATGAGCTCGCGGTATGCCGCAACGGGCCAGATGAACCCCCTGGGGAGGAGGCGGGTGGCGAGCTCGACGTCGATGATGATCTCCCTCATGGCGGGCTTCTTCTCGCCGCTGATGGCGATGAGGTAGCTCCTGCCGACCCACCCGATCCACCCGGCGATGTAGAGGAAGAGCAGCCCGGGGGTGATGAACTCGCCCCAGTGCCGCTGGTCGCCGCTCACGATGAGGTGCGGCAGGCCGTCGGCGCCGCAGAGCAGACCAAACTTGCCGTAGTTCTCGAACCGCCGCTTCGTCTTCTCGATGGTGGCGTTGATGGCGAGCGCCGGCGCGCTGTCGGGCGCGTACTTCTTGAGCGACGCCGTCAGCTTCTTGATCGAGTTCTTCTCGCGCTTCGCGAACGCCTTGGACTCCTTGCACGGGGTCAGGCCCGCGATGTCGGCGGCCGCGGGCGGTGGGGAGGTGGCGGCCGAGGACAGCAACACCGACGACAGCGCCAGCGCGGCCGAGAACGTCTTCACGGAGGACGCGAGCGACACGCTGCTGTTGGAGCTGCCGTTGCTGTCGCCGCCGGTGGCGGAGCAGGCCACGGAGAGGCGCGCCCGCGGGAGGCGCGGCTTCGCGGCGAAGGCGGCCGTGGAGGAGGCGGCGAGGGCGGCCATCTCTGCTTCTGCTGCTGCTGCGTCCGGCGAGGAGCTGGAGCTGGCGAGAAAGAGACGAGCTTATTGGCAGGGTGTGCGGGATGGCGCTATGGGATCAAGGAAGAAACGCGCTCGGGATAAGGAGGCGCGGCGCGAGCGGGTGAGGCGGGGATAAGGGGGAGTGAGCTGGGCGCCGTGGATTGGCGCCGGGGCATCCGGCGTGGCCGCGTCGGCGCGGGCGCTCGGATTTTGTGGGGTCGCCGCCTGCTTTTGGGTTTGTGGCTGCGGCGAGGCTGCTGATGCGGGGATTTGATTCCGGGGTTGGGTCGTGTGCTTTCATCTGCTACTAGCCATTGCTGCCCGCGCTTCGCTGCGGGTGATTTGCTTGGTATAGGAAACCTCATATTGCTAATATGTTTTCTCATCGTATTAGTACTTAAGGCTGGTCAGGTTGGTTGTCATTACATGGTGCCTATTCTAGTGGAAAGAAGTATTTGATGGAGTTGGGTTCAAGCAACTAACGCACTTAGATTTGAAGTACAACATTGGATAACATTACATTATAGGCGAAAATAGGAAAACTAAAACACAAATACTTCCCCTAACGGGAGGGTTTACAAAAAGTGAATTAGGATTCATTCTTCTTAGGTGAATCTACAACACGCATCCAATAACTACGGATGATAACAACGACAAGAGGAGCATCCCAAGGCAACTAATCCACCTTGAAACCACGCAGCCTTTGATTCCCATTGCTCGGTGGATTCTTTTCTTCCCCGGATATGGATCTGCAACTTCTCGCGCTAATGGTGAGTGAGAGGAACTAAGGGTTCGCTTCTAACACTTCCGAAGGTGGAGGCGCAAGCGGTTCTACATCACCGGTTCTCCTTGTTTCGATTGGGTGGATAGGGATCCCCTCCAAGATCGGGGCATCCCGCATTTCATCAACCAGCGCCCTCGCTTGGCCCTAGTGAACAAATAGGCCTCACCCGGGCTTGATGAACATGCCGATCTTGGCCTCCTTGAGCTTCGACATTGCAGCCTCCGGCTCTCGGCCACAGCAAAGATCGGCATGCGCTTTGGCGAAGCTGCACCTAGAGCATCCGAAAGTGAAGATCTCGGCTTCTTCGACGCCACGGGAGGCACGCCTCGGCTCAAGGCTTGCCGGTCATCACCGCTCATCCAGAGCAAGCATGTACGTGGTCAAGTGTACCACGGTAGGACTATCTTCTTGGGCATCACGCCTTTGCAAAGCCTCCATGCGAGCCATCCATGGCCGCCGATTCCTATCCAAGGGTGGAAAGAACCTCATGGGGGTACGGGCAACGGGCTCTTCATAGAGCTGGCAAAGATACCACAAAGCTTTGCGGGCCACAACCTGGTAGGTGTCGGTGAAGCTAAATCCGGTTGCGGTCACACTCCAGGCTTCGGTGATGTCGGGGAACTCTTCACTCTTCCCAATGTAAATGGTAACCTCACACCGATCGATGCCATGTTTCTGATACTCACGGCCCTCATACTCGGGACGATATTTGACTCCGAGCTTTTGCAGGGTGGCGTGCAGGATTCTAGGAAAGGCCTCAACGTTTAGGCAGTAACTACTAACCTAGGTTCCTGCCATTTCTGGTCGTGGCTACAAAGAAGGCCCGAGTAAAAAGCTTGCTCAAAGAGAAAACCTAAGCGAGCTAAAGTGCGACGAGTGGTGGTACCAATGGCCAAGGCAGGCTTTGCTTATAAAGGCCGAGCGGTCTGTGGTCCTGGCGTGGTTCACTAGGGTTCTTGCGCGGGATCACTACGAACGAATCGACCAGATTTCGCCCGTTCGAGGCGAGTGACGTGTGGTGCCATTACTGAGTAGTACGACTGTAGGGCAAGGGTCCGACAAGAGTGCAGAAAAGGGGTACAAGGAGACATGGGTTACTATTGACGTGGTTCATGGGCGAGCGCGGAGCACAAGGCCACAGTGTAGACCTAACTATGTAACAAGCACAAGTAGGCCATGCAGACTACGGCACGCGTGACACCTATGGATGGCGTAGCTGCTAGTAATATGGGATAACAATGCACAAACAGGCCATGCATTAATGCACGTCCTACGCGTTTGAGGTGAGCGATGTCTGAGGCCATTAATGACTAATACGGCTGTAAGCCAAGGTTCCGACAAGAACTCAAAAAGAGTGCTACCATTTAAGCTGTGCTCGCTTATAAAGGCGGAGCGGTTCGTGGTCTTGGCGCGGTTCACCAGTGGTTCTTACGTGGGATCACTACGAACAAATTGACCAAATTTCACGCGTCGAGGCGAGTGGCGTGTGGTGCCATTATCGAGTAGTGTACGATTGCGGGGCAAGGGCCCGACAAGAGTGCGTAAAAGGGTATGAGGGGACGTGGGTCACCACCGATGTTACTCAGTGTGAATGCGGACCACGAAGGTACAGTGCGAACCTAATTCTGTAACAAGCATGCATAGGCCATGCACACAACGACATGTGTGGCACCTAAGGATGGCGTGTCTACTAACAATACGGCACAATAATGCACGTACTACGTGGCTACACCTCAACTAACCACCTAGGTATGTAGTAGAATCTACAAGATTTTGTTCTTTGTGCCAGCGTGCTGGCACTTACTGGGCCTCATCATTGCATACATATAAGTATATAGTTCCATTGATGCACACGTTCGTGTGTTCACCTCTACGAAGTACAGTGTACCGGCCATTAAGGACTAATACGGCTGCAAGGCAAGGTTCCGACAAGAGGGCAAAAAAAACCACGGGGAGACTTGGGTCATGGTAGGCGAAGCGACGCTAAGCACAAAGCCATTATGGTAGATGTAGTAATGGCGATCAACCCCAACCACCGACCATCCTGGGAGTAACGTGGCCATGCATGTGTCCTAAATCGTAGCAGTTTAAATGGTCCTGCATGGTCCTGCATATTACTTAGAAACTACCACAACGTCCCTACGAGTTCATATTACTTAGGTACTATTACAATAGTACAGCTTGGATGGTGAATCATTTTTATCTGATGGTAAGGAGGAGAGACATTAAATGTGTCCACCAACCCCAGCCACTGCTTCTCGCGCTTCGTTGCGGGTGATGTACTTGCGCTTCGTCGCGGGTGATGTACTTGTTGTAAGAGATTTGAAGTGTTTCAAGTAGAGAGAGAGTACAACTAAGTGAGAGGCAGTGGAACCGGTTTCTTTCTTTCCAGTGCGGCCTTCTGCTGCTTCGGTTGGTTCTTGCGGCTGAACTGAACCCTGTGAGGTTTCTTGGTTTGCCTCAGGCTACTTGGAGGACAGGAGGCCAGCGTGCAACATGGACCGTGACGTGGTGACCTCATTGATCATGGAGACAACCATCATGTGGGAGCCCGGGCACTCCAACCAAGAATGGCAAGGGCGCCACGACTCCTTGATTCTCCCAAGCAGGGGCCCACCTACCTCTGTGTGAGAGGCGGGCTACGAGATGGCAAACGAGGGTCGACGCACAGAAGAAACTTGAGATGCCCATAATAATAGCTGCGATGTCTTTGGTTCTAGTGTTGGATAACGAATCAAGAACACTTCTTTTGAGCTTTCTTCAAAATTAGCATACTTTTATAAATAGTCTCCTGAATTATCAACTTCAAACCGAGTTGAATGAGCCGAGACGAAGTCAAAGTCATTCTAAATCATTTTTTTTCATTTTAAAAGAAAAACGAGTTCCCTAGCTTGTCGTGTGTGCTTGTGATCGCCGATGCGTGTCGAAATTTCTAGGTTTCTAATTGTTTCCTTCAATCGGCTTATCTTGGCGTGACTTGCACGAGATGGTTTATGCCACCGCTCTCATTAACATTCAAAAGAACTCGATTCATTTCCACTTTCAAAACATCAACTCGCTTCCAATCCCAAAACATCAAAAATTCGGTGGATGGAGTTCAGAGGGCCATCTATCACAAGAACAGAACATGTATCGGAAGTTCGAACCACCGGTCACTCGGGCTCAGTAAATCATGGAGTGAACCAACACCATTGTCTCGATCACATCAAACAAGACCAACACCGATGCAAATATATCCCAACCCACAACCACGATCCCCGCCATAATGGCACTCGTTATTCGCAATTACAAGGAACTTAAGAAGACAGGTCTACAACCAGATCACACAGAATGGTTAATTCTCGACGGTTGATAACCAAGCCTCACCAAATGTACATCAAAACATTAGTGACAAAGTTATACAGATTGAGTAAAATTTTTTGTTCTCTTGAGAAAGGAAAAATGATACGCAAATGCTCGAACAAACCGAAACACTTCTAACAAGATTAGAAGAAGCTTTTCAAAGGAGAACAAGATTAGAAGGAACATGCTCCCAATTACAACACTTTGTAATAAGATTATTACCGCATCTTTCGCCGGTGACTTACTCACTGCAGATATGGGCAAAAAAACGAGACAAATCTGATACATACATTTTATTCATCGGTGAGATGCAACATGAAAGAAAAACTATGGAACAAGAGGCCGGAATGAGAGTTTGTGTAACCGCCTCAACTCATTCTAAGACACTCTTCAAAATTTTTATGTGATAACGGTCGGGGCAGAGCGGCCAGTGTACTCTTGCATCTTGGAGAGCTTGAGCGCAACAACCTTGAGATGAAACACAAAATTAGAAAATGCGCTTTCACGAAACCCAATGTATATTCAGCTCATGAACCGAAAGGACATGATAGTATCTTACCAACGAGCAAGGGCATCCTGTGAATCCTGCCGGTCTTGGAGGAACCCTTCTCGTCTTCGCTCGATGTAGACACGGATGGTGGCACCAATGTAACCAGTTCCAGAGAGGCGGAACACCTAGAATGCCGAAAATCCATGTTAGCTCACCAAGATGATATAGACAGAGATCTCAAATATATCCATCTCGACCAAGGATGAATCCAAATCGGACTTATCATGTACCGAATGATAATATTGCAAAAAAGGAAATGTATTGTTGACTAGAACAAGGTTTTCACACCACTCCCTTTGTTTTGGT